TCTAATTTTAGTTATCTCACTGAGATTTTAGTAACAAATAGATACAAATAGACCTAATATGAATCACATGTAGAAAAATGCTGATATCCGTTGACAGGACGCGCCAACTACAAAGTTTAAAATATTAATAGTACTCAAATACAGACCTGAGATGTCGAAATTACACTCTCCTAGGACTAAGCTTTTCAGGGATTATTTACAAAACCGCTTGTGGTGCCGTCGGAAAATGTCATACTAATCAAATATTTATGAGACTTAAATGTGTTATAAGTTAACAAGAGAGTATACTTTCTTTTAGATAGTTTTTACAATATCAATATTATTATTTATACGTTTGTTATAATTACGTTATGTCACTTTACATACGTAGTTTTACTAGTGAGGTAATAGAAGGAAGTCGCCAGCGCAAACAAACAATTAGACACCCAAATTATTTACTGACGTTTTATTTTAATTAGTCAATCGACATTTAATAAAACTGGAAAAGTTGCAAAAGACCCTTTTCTTCACTTTATACTTGAACCACAATAAATCTTCCATTGGCTCTGAAGACTGGATGCTGATTTACTCTTGTAAGGGCAACTTGCTAAATTCTGCAAGTAAAAATCAAAACATCGCTACATGTAATCATCATGCAGTTTCCATTTCGTATATCCAGTACGTATAGCCAAAGACTATAGTAGCCTATAGCCATATTATACCAATTGTATGTATAGACTGCGTAGCTGACAGTTTTTTTTTGTTTGTGTTTCGAAAAGTAAAGTATACAGTCGTACGAAAGCTGAACCGAAGTCAAACGAGAAAACGATCTTCCTCACACCCCCTCCCTTATCGTTTTCGTTTCCTTGTTTGACCTCTCAAACAAACGAAAAACACGTTGAACACTCGAATAAATCCGTCTGAATCCGTCTCAGTGTGGCTAAACTCGGGAATGCCATTAAAGAAGATTTAAAATCTGCGAGTTGTCTTCGCTTTAAAAAGCTTTTAAGAGAATCTGTCATCTCCAAATACTGCTGATTGGTGTACTTTATATGCAGCTAATTGTGGGCACAGCCGTTGTTTCATCTTGCTTCTTTGTTTATTCGTTTGTGTATTTGTTTTTTTGTTACAGCTTATATAATTATTTCTTCTTTGTGTGTTTTTGTGTGAATTTGTTTATTTATAGCAACTTTGATATCTAGTTACCTTTGCGCACGGACCAGCCAATCAGCGCGATTAGCTTTTGTTATTTCTGAGTGGCTGTGCTCTCTCTCTTTTTTTGACAATTTTTTCCTTTTAATGTCTTTACACTTTTGTATCAAGAGCACGATAAAGATTGTTGTTTTTGTATAACTTGAAATGCAACTTTAATCAATAGGCCATTTCCGAGTCTCCCGGGCCTCTGGCAAAAGCAAAAGCAAAAGCTTGAAAGTAATAATATTAATAAAAACAAACAAACAAAGAAACAAACAACTAAAACTCGGAGGGTCGTGAGTTCGATTCTCACCTGGAGGTCGGAAAAGAAATTTTTTTCTCAGCTTTCTAGTGTTTGAATTCTCTTCCTTTAAACAAAAGAAAAATGAAACTCGGGCGCTACCAAAAGTTTGACCAAAAGGTTCTGAGAAATAGTGAACAGCTATTCAGCCACTGAAAAGGAGGAAGTTTTGCCTCGAGGCCATTTTGAAAAAGGGACGATTTTGGTGGATGCCATTCACCCCCCACCAAAGCCCCCCCATCCCCCCCCCCTTCTTGCAAGGTTGAAAGTCATCCTTTACAAGAGCATCCATGACCTTCCGACGTTCTCAGATAAAAGAAAGAATAAATAAATATTTTTAATGAATAATAAAAAAAGAGTAAAAGCTGGCAGAACTCGAAATTTGTCTGGTTCATATAGAATTCTATCTCATAGAGTACATGGCAGGTAAGTTTGTTATGGAGCTCGTGAAGAGGGAAACACACGAAGAGGAAAAGCAGGCCCTTTTCTTCCCTGGGGCGCGCACGCGTCCTCGAGAATTTTCCCTTCCCTCTAAAAAACCCTGCATCTTCTACGCAGGATGTAATATTAACCAATTCGCCCGTGGTAAGGGAATCCAAGAGTCTTGGATTCTGGATTCCACTCAGTGGATTCCGGATTCCAGGTACTGGTTTTCAGTTCCAATCATTAGTGGGATTCTGGATTCCTTGAGCTATATTCCAGATTCCAAAAGCCAGGATTTCGGACATCACCAGCAAATTTTCCAGCGGCAAAGCCAAAGCAATACTTCTAAATCGTACTGACAATAGAGAGGACAAGTCGTTACGTCATGTTGCTATGGTAGCAAAATTTTTGGATGACAACAAACTGATAAGTCACTTAAAGTCTACTCGCACTATTTCAAACTTCACCGATCTTATTCAGTTTCATTTAATTTGGCAAATTTTGGCGAAATTTTCTTCGCGACCGTATCTATCGTTATCTAAGTTTAGAAAAAGAAAGCGACAATTTTAGGGTTGTGTTCACCTGCTCCATAACGCGGGCTCGCGAACTTAGGACGTTTCATGTCGTAGCGGTGCAACGACGGCAAAGAAATGCACAAAATAGCGTGACGCACGTGCATAGTTGTTGTTTGTTAATATAAGCATATTATTTTTTGCCGCTCTCCTTGCCGTCGCCGTCGTCGTTGGTTTTGTTGTCATCCAGAAATAGTGCTACTATGGTAACGTGACGTCACACTTCTCCTCTCTATTGCAGAAGTTTATCAGTCTACTAATCCATACCTTCTCGATTAAGTTTTCCATCCTGATCACCGGAATCTACAGCTGCCACATACTGAGAGGCAATAATGCTGAAGTTCTTACCGGTCTCGGGGCTTGTCATTTTCAGATATTTTGCAAGCTCTTCTGGCGTCACAAAGCCATCTTCATCAGAGTCGACATCATCAAACAAATCCTACGAATTATCAAGAATTTAATTTTCACTATTATCGCCCCATATAATGGAATCCAAAGCAGTCTTGGATTCTGGATCCCAAGCCGCGGGTTCTTGATTCCGGAGTCTTTGTGAGAGGAACTTGGATTCTGGATTCAAATCTTTAGTGGTATTCGGATTCCTTGAGCTGTATTCCGGATTACATTACATGAGACGACTATTAGCCAACAACGTTAACCGCCAACAGTGTTCATCGGAACATATGAACAAATTACAAATTAGAAGCATTTAAACTTATAGGAAACAATGACGAGCAGGTTAACGCTCCGCGCTTCCCCCCAGAGGTTACCACTCCAGTTTTTCCAGTTGGCCTCCATATTGGCCATATGAGATTGTGCGTGAGACTGCACTACGGGGCTGTTTTTTGGGGCGCTAAAGGTTCCTTTATCGGCTAATACGGAGCCGCGCCTTTCTTAAAACGCTGTTTTTTTTAGGCTGAGCGGGCAACAGATTCCGTGGGGGCGTGATTGGCACCATAATTTTTTGAATTCTTGAGGCTATAACTTTGTTTCTTTTAAAGGCATGCAACTGAAACTAATACAAGCAAAATACTTGATTTCAGGAATATTTTGGATATCGTTTCAGGGGTTACCAGTCACGAGACTCTCTAGTGGCCAATTAAAATCTTCGTAGGTATGTAACCTGAAACTGTGATACTTTGCAGAAATACATTACTCATAAAATTGAAGGACTTGTCCGATTTGAATTCTCAAATTTCATTTTTTGTGACGTCACAAAACGGGTTTTTTGGTCATGCGCAGTACTCATCCAAAAAATGAAGAATTTCAAACAATAACTTCAGAAAAATACAACAGCGAAAGTCTCAACTCGTTATCTTCTATACTTAAAGAGATATTGGTAACATTCCATGCATATTTTAAAAAAGAGTTTGGACAAATTTATGGCCGATTTTTAACCCTTTTTTTTCCTTAGCGTGCTCCCCCTCAGACGCCTCTTTGAGTCGTTAGGAGGCTGAGGAGAGTGGAAAAAGGAAGTGCGCGGGGAACGATTGGAAGAGGGAAATTCCTCTCTTCCCATCGTCCACCGCGCGCTTATTATTATGTTTAATAAAGAGGAGAAGTGGGACGTCACGTTACCATGGTAGCACTATTTCTGGATGACAACAAAACCAACAACGACGGCGACGCAAGGAGAACGGCAAAAAGTAATATGTTTATATGAATGAACAAACAACAACTTTGCACGTGCATTACGCTATTTTGTACATTGCTTTGTCGCCGTTGCACTATACAACATGAAACATTCTAATCTCACGAGCCCGCTTTATGGAGTAGGTGAACACACCACAAAAATTGTCGCTGTCTTTTTCTAAACTTAGATAAGGATAGATACGGTCCTAAAGAAAATTTCGCCAAGAATTGGCAAATTAAATGAAATTGAATAAGATCGGTGAAGTTTGAAATCGTGCGAATAGACTTTTAAGTGACTTTATCGGTTTGTTGTCACGCAAAATTTTGCTACCATGGCAACGTGACGTAACGACTTCTTCTCTCTATTATTGCTATTTTTATTGGAATACGCAGGAACTTTGGGCTGTTAGGGTGACGGTTAAAAAAATATTTTTTTAAAATATTCAATTACACATTTATAGGAATACCAAATTGTTCACAACTGAATCAAACACATTCATGTCAAGAAAGATGGCAAGTATTCTTACACCAAAATCAGATAAGGATTGTCCGATACAATAAAGTTATTATTTTATCCGTATATTAACGAGTGTTAAGTTTTTATCACTTACAGAACTTCTTTCCAACAAGTAGAGGCTTCTGCCTGCCACAAATGATGCAGTTGTAGCCAGTAAAAGAGCCAACAGTAGCTTGTAATTTGCCATAAGGAAGTTTAATTTTACGGTGAGCTGCAATTCATAAATTGTGGTTTTAGAGGACAGTTGTTAGAATAAGAAAAAGAAACGAGGCTTTTTAGACGCGAATGAATCAGAATGATCATGATAATGATGATGATGATAATGATAACAAACTTAGAAATATTTTACATTGTGCATTAATAAAACAATCGTTGTACTCTCCTTAAGTATGATGTGAAGAATTATGTAGAACTCGTAGGCTCCTGTCCACCTCGGCCTTCAGCCTCAGTGGATAATATCCCCTCGATCTACATAATTCTTCATACCATAAAGAATGTAGGTGTGAATGTCGCGATGGTACTGACGTTTTCTTGTATATATTTATCACATTTCACATCACTATATTTGATAAAAACTGGAAATAGAAATAGTTTTTTTATGGACCAATTTAAGCCGAACTATCAAGAAATCTCTAATTATCGAGAAAACGAATATTTCTACTGGAAGGTTTCTGATCGATTTTTCACGCGTAAAGACACTCATGCTGCTGGTTTTTTAAAGGTACATCGAATCACAGTAAGTAGAGGAGACTGGTGAGGAAACCCGGCAAACATCAAAGTTAAATACAATGGTGCTGTAGGTTGTGGTGGAGGCTCCCTGACCGTGCGCTATCCTTTGTTTTCTGTTCACAAATTATGACTAAATAAATCAATGCAATGTTTCTATTGGTCAATATCTTCAAAACGATAGGAATGCTATTGAACGTTGGGCACGGTCAGGTCCAAAAACGTTAACAAAAAACCTATGACAAAGGGTTTCCCAACCATTTCACTATAATTAACTATGATAGAATTGACTTCATCGTAATAATCCACTCGATAATCCATCAGCTGAGGACATATACTTCTCAAAAGGTTCTGCGCCCGTAAATCTTGGGTTTCTAGAACTTTTCTTATCGATGTAGGTTACCATGGCAATTTTAATTCCTGTACTGGCAAGCTTGATTGCGACTTCATCAAAAACGGATCTCTTTGAACATCGACGACTTTTTTCATAATGAACCAAATTCGTTGTACATTAGTCAGTATATTTGTGTGTGTGTAGCCAAAAGCATTAGTCATTTCGTAGTATCACAACAATCAGTGCAGAAATCTTCACTCTACTTCCATCTCCCCTGGTCGGTAGTGCACTCGCTTCAGATCTGACCCTATGAAATACGTAGGGTCAAAACTTAAGCTCATTTTATTCTGTCGCTTTTTAATTTTTTTTTCGCGTTTATATCCTCATTTATGATTATTTTCCATGTTATAAACGAATCGTATGGCTATTAGCTAGTGCCTTTCATAAGCCCTATCAATTTTCTTCTTCTTCAGTTTTTCTTAAGACGATTGTAAAAACCAAGGAGAACTGATTTTAATACCAAAGGTTAGGTAAAATTTTGGGGGTGCAAACAAGTTGAATGTCGGGGTATGTACTTTTTGTGTAGTTGGTGAAGTTAGTTTTGGAAAAAAGGTTCGTATGAAATACGCGAACGAATTATCAAATTTATTCCTTACTTGTATTTTTTTACTTAATTGGATCCGTACTTACTAAACTGTGACATGCTTTCCTTTGGCGCTGTTTATTTTGCAGCGCAAGGAGTTTTTAACTGTGAAGTCTGCAGGGAAAGATCTAAGTGTTTGCATCCAAAGTTTGGACCGCACTCTTAACCAGAAGAAGTTTTTATTATATGAATACGGGATGAAATCCTGAATCTATGTGTAAATATTAGTATGAAAACAAGCTGCCTTTCAGTGCAGAAAAGAATAGCGCTTCCTTTGCCTTCATGAATGAAGGGTTTTAACAGCGTTTGCTCTAGTTTGAATTGTATATAAAATTCCAAAGTGTGATCACGAGAAAAATCCACTGAAAGTTTCTTTAATTCGGGCCGTTAACTGAACTAAAAGTTAACAGGAAACTTACCTTATTTCAGTTTTTCGGGAAAGTAGAAATAGCGATCGATGGTTGTTGAATTTAGTTCTTGCTTTTGATTAGGTGAGTGTAGACAATATGGTTTTCATATGTACTGTATAGCTTGATCGTCTTAGCTCATTTTAATTTAAATGAAGATTTTTGAGGGAAAGAACAAATTGACCAGGTTACCGTAATCGGCCATAAATGAGTCGTTGTTGTTGTTGACAGTTGCTGACGTTTCGACAAACTTTGTGGTAATTATCTTCAGAGTCAAAACAGCTCAAGTTAATTTATAAGACGTTACAATTTAAAAATTCAAAAATTGTAACGTCTTAGCTTGACCTAGTCATTTGTAGGTAAGACCCTGAAGAAGGAAGGACGTGCCTTCCGAAATATTGGTAACAAAAAAAAAATATATATTCCCGACTGTAAAATTAGCCTAGCTTCTTTCCGTGGCTCAGACATTTTAACTGATTATATCCTTTTTAGATCCGGTCCTTCTATTTTGTAACCTTGGTCCTTGCTTCCAAAATTGAATTTAATATTAGTAATTAACCCCTTCACTGCCAGAGTGTTTGATAGAGTTTTGTGAGGTAACTTTAACTTTTGAGATTGTAGACGAAATCCTATGATGTCCCATTCAAATGAAAGCTCTCTGCCTGTACTTTCACATGATGCTATTTGTTTGTCAAAATTTTAGAAAATGAAATTTGGAAATTTGGTCGAAATTTGCCTTTGGCCACATTTGGCAGTGAAAGGGTTAAAACTTAACAAAATTGAAAGTGATAGCGAAAATATCGCTCCGCGAAGTTGCGAAAATATACCGAGACGTTTATATGGTGGTGGACAAGTTTGTGCCCCCACCGTCTGTAAAATTTCGCGACTTTGGGAATCTATATTCATGCGTTGCAGCCGGCCCACGGATCGTTCAAGCCATTTGTATAGTCCGTCATGTCCGTAGCTCTATTCAGAAGGTTTAGAGTGTCCTCGACCTAGGTAGGAAGCTATATCTTCATTAATTTCAACAAATCACTTTGAATTCAGACTTTGGCAATTTTACTCAAGGCGCTCTTTCCAGTGAAGTTGACGGATTTTCCCTAACTTGTCCATGAACGATAGAAAAAAACCTTGCAAAGGTGGCGGCCGTATCATGCACGGCTGAGAGGGCAGGCTCCTGAGCCCTACTCCGGTCCTAGGAATCCCAAAAAGCCCTGTCTGAATAGGGTTAGGCTGACAAGCCGCTGTTTGGGAAATGAGCTCGCGCCCCACCCCGTACAGACTTTTCTGGGGGTGGACGGAGAGAAAGTATAATTTTAGTTGATGAAACACCAATAAGACATACAAATTATCGAGGCACAGATATTTTGACGTTTATTCCATGACCCACATAGTTTGAGGTTATCTAAATTTTAATAACTTGATTAATATTTAGTTCTTCCCTTCTTGAGATCGTCAAACCATAGGACTCTTGAATCAGCTGACATGGTTTCATTCAGTGTTTTCGGTGCTGTGTCCCATGTCAAACGGTAAGGACTTATGAAATTCTGCAGGTTAAAATTGAAAACAACAAGAAAAAGAAGAAAACCATGAGTTTAATGACTCTTCAAAAAATGTAATAGTCAGACTGCTTTTTTTCGTGTCAGGTATTTAGTAATTTTCATTGTTTATTACACTCAAACCAGGTCAAGCGTACCCCCCAAATGATATTTTAAATTGGCATTTAAAGACTGGATAATCATGGAGAAGCCTTTGAGCTATTCTGTTACTGAGAGCCAAAAGCGTTGAGAAAATTCACAATAAGAAACCAGATGCTCTAGGGATCCTTCTTACTTACTACAAAAAGGACACAAGGGTGAAGTGACAATGCCCATTTTATAAAGACCTTTGTTTGTGTAGACAATTCCATTTTTAATAATTTATACTGGAATTCTGTTGTTGAGAGTTGAGGGTAACAGGCCTCGGAAGAAGATAAATTTCTTGCCAAGATAAATAGTTTACTGAAAATATTTCCTCACATTATTTGCATTTCGAAATTGGATCAATCCTAATTTTCAGCTCAAGGTCCCAGTAGAGCTGCCTGGAAGAGGTGAGAAAAATGATACTACGAGACTTATTGTCATCGGTGAGCCGAATTGGTTGTCCTTTCAGTATCTTTCTCCGAACTGAAGGCATAGAGCCAAAAACACTCAGCTCATAAGTCAGAGTGACATATTCGGCACCCGTTTTATTTTCATGCCTGCTTCAGTTACAACATCAGCTTCAGTTTGATAATGGCCTTCTTAACCCAATTCTTTTTAAACAGTGGTTTCCCCGCTACACAGATATCCTTATTGTTTCAAAAGATTTCGTTGAACGCATCACCTGCGCATAATGTAGGCGGAGTGCTTTTCGCCTTGTAATTTGCCCAGTCGTTCAGACATTCCTTATAAAACAACGGGAACATTTTAGGCAAACAAATCGACGTCACGATGACTTCTCTGTATTCGGTCAGATTGAAATGTTTTTGAATGGACAAAATAACCTCGAAGACACTGATTTACATCAAATTCAAGAAGACTGAGCTGGTAGAAATTTCATGACGACCTCGGATGTATAGCTCATCACAAAGGAATGAAGACGGAGATGAATCACAAATCTACAACTACCATGGATTCAACTTTCGATTTTTGAATTCATTAATGGAATTTTTGGGGGGCGGGGGGAGGGTAGCTTAACCCGACCTTAGCTGTAACAAATTCATACCATTGCGGTTCAAGTAACCATTTCCGTCGGTGTCTGCAGCACTCACGTAACTAGCAGCCAGCACGCCAAAGTCAACGTCTTTCTCATCGCTTGTTTGCTCCAGATATTCCGTTAGCTCATGGGTGCTGACCTGACCGTCGACTGGATCGATGTCAATTTCATTAAATACGTCCTGTAAAGGAGTGTTTGTTGGGTTAGTCAACAAAGGTGACAGATACAAAGTTTACGTGAACATTTTTCCGGGACCAGTTTTGTGTCCCCTGAATGGAGGTGTCCCTTCAATAGAGGTGTCCAAAAAGAGCAGTTCCAGTGCATCAACATTTTATCAACCCTTATTAATGGCCGAGTTAAGGGTAAATTCGGTCACTTGGTACACATTAACGTTTGCCGTTTCCCGTAAACAAGACTCTAATTCTCTTACGTCTTCGAAATCAACGTTGAAAGGGAAGGTTGGGGAACTCAGCAGACTACGAATGCAGCCGTCTCTCCACGCCAATCGCCGCTAAGGACGTTTGCGAAATGTCCCCCTAGCAATGTAATATCGGCTGTTATTATTCATTCAAAATATTTCTCTGCTTCTGATGGGCTCAGATCCCTAAACTCGAGTATGCAACGTCAGTCTGGGATGCACATTATAAATGTGATATTCGTAGACTATATAGAAGGTGTGCAAAGAGCCGCAGCGATCTTCTGTAAAAGAGATTACCACTATACCTTCAGCGTTAGCATTATGTTAGATAGTTTTGGCCTCGAAACCCTTGAAACACGAAGAAAACTAAGTCGTCTATGTAAGATGTACAAAATTATTCACGGACTCGTTGATTTGAATATACATAATTATTTGCAATTCTCCAAGGAAACAAGAACATGGAACAGTCATGTGTATAAATTCCAGACGCCCTTTGGCTCGATAGTTTTGACCAACTAGTTGGATTTTACTAAAACAATTATTCCTTTGGCCTTCATGGCCGCTGAGTCAATAGCCCATTCGGCCCTCGGCCTCATGGGCTAATGATTCCTAGCTCATTCGGGCTCGAGGAATAATGGTTAAATAACCAGTTGACGTTGACCAAATTTGGAAGACGTTTCGAGGTTGAAATGTTTCGCCAAAACCGGACGAAATGGCGGGACATTTCACTCGTTTCGCGAAGAACAAATAGACGAACCACTGGCTAAAAAAAAAAAACAAGAACAACAAGGATACAACTCGCCGGACGACATTTGCCACTTGCAGAATATTTGCAGAACTGAACATTCCTTTATCTTCTAAACTTGACGATAAACAGGCAATTGATGATGGACGCACTAGAACTTAACATCGATGGAGGTATGCATGTTTTAGTTTGTATTAAAATTAGAAGTTATTTTGAATGAATAATAAAAACACTTATCGGCCTTGGGCTGATCGGCCTCGGCAGATAGGCTTTGATAGATGGTGCCGCTGGCATTATTTTCTGCATAATTCATCATTACGAGCATTATTTTCCACTATTTTCCAAAAAATATTAAGCATTTGTAGCAAAACTTGCAATTTTGGCTAGTTTCGCATCGCAAAATCGTCAACTACTGAACATGCAACCATTTTTTTTAGCCCGAGATCAGTGTTATAAAGGCAAATTTAAGTAACAACTCATTGTCACATTATGAGATCTGGGTCCGACAGGACGTGATCCAGGACCTTTCCAATGGTCTCAACGCATGCTCATAACAAGCTCGGTTACCCAAAATGGCGTGCGCGTTTACATAGTTGTCAGACAGTAGTTTTGTTGACTCAATGGTTTACCTTTATATTTCCATCTATCACTGCAAATACTTTGCAAGACAGTAATAGCCGTGGAATTTATAATGGCCTATGCGCTAGTCAAGTCTCTAGCTGTAATAGGACAAAAACTCACATCTCTCTTCCAAATGTCTCTGCAGGTCACATGTGTAAAGGTAACCGCTAATAAGATGAACAGAGAAATCTTAAAGAGATCTGCCATGATAGATGTTCTTCTGCCCACTTGATTGATTCAAACACCTGAGTCGAAAAGAGAAAAGCTCTAAGTTCCAAATGT